CCACAGACACACACACTCATACACACATGAGAACAAGGTCTTAAAATTAAACCTCTGCACCTGCAAAAAAAAAAAAAAATCCCCAAGTTCATATCCAGTCTCTATGGCCCTTAAACCATAGACAGGATTCAGAGGAATCCTCTATAAAGACACCACGGAAGCCCTGCAGAAGTGGAGGGTTTGGCTTAAGTACCTTGCCATAGTTTCTACTCATACATATTTCTGTGCAAAGACAATCATCTCCGGGAGCTATTTTTTCAGATCCCACAGAATTGCACATTCAGCAATTTATAAATAACTCCCAGTTCCGAAACAATGAAAATTCTAAAGCGAATAACATTTCTAGGCAGCAAGCAAACAGTACACAATGTAAAGAAAATTCCCCAATGAGCTCAAAGAGTAAGAAATATTTACCTTCAAGGAATCACAGAAGCTGCACTTAAATAATTGGGTTGGAAGGCTGCTGGTTTTCCCCATTGCGTCTGAGGAGCAAAGTCTGGACGTGAATTGGTTAGCAGGGATAATGAAGAAAAAGAAATCCAGAGAGATGGGAGATGTTGAGAGCAATGTCACATTTCAATTTTGAGGACTTTATTCCATTGCGCAGGCTCTATCTGCTCTGAATTTAGCAGTGACAGTGAGATTTAGCAAACAGAGAGGGATTTAGAGAAAATCCTCACATTTATCTACAAAACACAGACACTGTAGACAGGAAACAGCTGGGGGAACATTTGCCTTCTCTCTCTCTCCCTCTTCTGGCAAAGTTATCGAGTAAGGACTTTTTTGGGCATGGTGACAAATAACATCATACCTTTGCATTTTAAAACTAGAGCACAGAAGCTTTTTCTTTTTTTTTTTCCCTTAAAAGAATGTGTGTTAGTGGCAGGGTGGGCAGATATTAAAAAGACCGACGCTGCCGTAGGAAACGAGGATCTGTTCTCTGATTAACTTTCTCGTGGGCATGAAGACACGCACATCTGTTAAGACACTCACATCTGTTAAGACACCTTATCGGTACTGAAGGAGCGGGTGGGGGGGATGGGTAAGCAGTTTTACATTCTACAGCAAGCCCAAAATTAAAAATAAAAATAAAAAAGAAATGAAGGAAAGACCACCCCAAGCCAAAACCTATGAGTTTAACCCTGAAATGACTGAAGCAAACTCGATCGGGATATGGCGCTGGGGTGACCCCTGGGCCTACTTGCCAAGCCAGGGAATGATCTCATTTCCTAGAACCTAGAAAAGGGGCAGGCAGTGTGGCAATGGGCTCCCTCTGGGACGACACCGTTTCGTGCCTCTTGTTCGCGACAGGGCAAAGACCTTGCTGAGCTGTGAAGCCAACTGAAAAAATAAAATCATTTTTCGTCCTTCCCCTACTAGGCTGCCTATGACCGCCCAGGGGAAGGGCACCTGAGGGGCAAACTCTTTTCCCGTTGTTTCTATTTTTCTGCATAACTCGAAACTGTGTGCGTGTGCATGCGTGTGCGTGTGCGTGTGCGTGTGTGTGTGTGTTTCCCTCTCCAATGTTTGTGTATTCTAAATAACACCAGCTGGCTAGCAATACCCTCTCAAGGGTTATGATGTCATTCAAATCCCTCCACTGGATGAGCGGCCGGCAACGTGGTCCAAGCCAGCTGTTTTGCTATTTATAATGTACACTTGCCTTTGCCGTTGAGAACCAAGTTCTGATCTCCGGTCAATACACTCTGTACCAATTTCTCTTTGGTTTTGTGAGGTGTAGATAAGAGAGTGGATTATGAAATCAGGTTTCGAAAGCCCAGATAAGACATGCCACTTTCCCTGGATGTCTAGCTGGGCCTGGCTTCCCAGGGGTGGTGGAAATAACCTGGACCTTGCATTTCCCTCTGGGGACTGTCAGGGGACACAGGGATACCTATGTGTCCACTGGCCACTGAAAACTGAGGTCTGCTGGAAACCCCAATCTGGATCTTTACGTTGTCTTGTGGATAGAAAGTTGTTTGTGGGCGTCAGTGTCCTCAGAGGAAAACCTGGTTGGTTTCAGAAGGGGGTTCGGTTTGGTTAAGTCTTCTGTGTGGTTAATAATGTGAGGCAAGATTCACCTTCCAGAAAGAAAAGTTAGAAATTCTTTGGACTTATGCCATTCCAATTGTGCACAAATTCAGTGTCATTTAGTGAGTGCCTACTGTGTGCCCAACTACATGCACCATGGTCAAGGCCCCACAGGGCTCTCGGCTTAGTGGCAGAGATGGAGAGGAAAACGTCACTGTCGTGTGGTGGGTATCTGCTCTTTCAAAAACATGAACAGTGCACACTGTGGGGGAGGAACAGATTCTCTGGGAAGACAGGGAAGTAAAACCCTTTTGAAAATCCAGAATGGAGAGAAGGGATAGATCATGAGGGGCTTTGGGTACTAGGATGGGGAGTTTCAGTGGATACGATTTGACCTCAAGAGAATTCAAATATGCATCATTAAGAGCTGGCCAGGGAGGCACCTGCAGGTGGGTGGTCGATTCCTGAACCTCAAGAAAAATGCAAGACTTCCTTTAATGAGCTCCCTTCGTGCATGTAATTTATGACTTGCTTTACCCAAAAGCTCCTTTTTTCTGTAGCTTTTGTGAAAGACAAAGTCTGTCCTCCTCTCCTAGACTTTAATGATGTAGCTCGTAGAACCAAAGAGCTGCTCCCGTCTCCCAGGCTGGAAGAACTGCCATCCCACGGGCACCGAGTCAGGTACTGGCTGGAGCCTTGCCCCCTCACCAGGCACCTTCGCAGGTGAAGGCCAGGACTTCTCCATTGCACTTTTAGCATATTTTAATTGTTCTGAGATGCCCTAGAAGCTCACTGCCTTTCTCCAAGGCTGGCACCCAGGCTGGCGTGCCCTCTGGCGTGCCCTGGGCCACCGTGTCCTGTGAAAGGCTGCCCCGGGAGACGGATCACATACCATTCCCCCAGACTCTGCGCTCCTGCACTATCCACACACTGACTCACAGTCTCTTGGTTTCATAACCCCAATTACCCTTAAAGGATAATTGAGTTTTAATTTATGTCCCAGTTTTTATGTCACCATGAAAGAAAACTGAAATTTCAGTGAGTCGTAATTATCATCAGCTGGGCTGTGGAAACACTCCGGTGTGAGCTCCCAGTTTCCAACAGGGAAAGCAATTTCCTGAAGCGATTATTGTGTATTTCAACGTGGGGAACAGTCTCTGTGTCTGGGTAGGGTGAGCCCGCCACAGAACAGGGCAGTAATTTCCTAGAGAAATGGCCATATTCTCTGCTAATTCCAGAGTTGACATGAAAGTGGAAAGGCAATCAATGTGCCACGTGATTACCCTTTAGTGTCTGAGTGCTGTACCTGTTTAGGAGAAAAGAGATGAATGCACCTATTACTAGAGAGTCTGAGGTGGTAGTAAATCTAATCCTCAGGAAAAGTTCAGGTCATGGAGTCCCATTGGAGAGAAACATGTAGGGTCATTCTGAAATGACTGAAGGACTGTGCAGTCTCCTGCCTGGGACAATCTGGCAGTTAGATATGGGGATTGTGTGCCATCAAAATAGCCAGCTGCACCAATGCGCTCGTCATGAGAGCATACACTCCAGGAAATTCAGATTCACAGTTGCACTTTTGCATGTACCATGCCTATGGCATATAAATAACTCTGCCCTAAAGCCTGCTTCTTGAGTAGTGTATTTGCATAAAGCTGCAGTCTCAGAAGACTTCTGACACCTTTCTTGGGAATAAAAAAAGAGTTGTTCATCTCCTTAAAGCACAGGCTGACTGAGATTCCCAGAAAGGGGTGGGCGAGGCCCAGTCCCACTCTTGCTGCTTAAGCCCTGTGCTCAGCCTTCCCCTTGCCAACTGCAGGGGAGCTGATCCAGACGTAATTTCATATCCATGTGCAATAGGGCATATTTACAATGTATTTTATTAATGTTTTTGCTGACTCCCAAGAAAAGCTCAGAATGGATAGTTGGAGGTAGGAGGACTTTGGAACCAAACAAAGGGTGAGGTCTAAGGTTCTGGGGCCACCCACCAGGCAAAGAACTTGGGGAAACTCTTGGATGTGTGTCCTGGATCAGGGTTTGTGGGGAGGGTTGGTCTGGGAGTGTATTCTCCAAGGTTGGAGATCAAGAGCTTGTCAATGTAGAATGTAAAACTCAGAGGAAAAGTCCGGGCCTCAAAAATACAACATACTGCTGAACAAGGGGACTAATGTCAGCTCTGAAAGATCTGCTTGGAAGGAGCTCTGTTATTCCTCAGAAAGGCCTTGTGTAGCTCAAAGGAGTTGCTTTAAATCCTTAAAGGAGCATTTTCCCCACAGCTAGGGAAAACAGAAATAGGGAGAAGAAATCCTCTCACTAAAGAAGTCAATGCTTTCTTTTCAACATCAGACTTGGATCTTACTTCTAAAATGTCAAAAGGGCAAATGTTGAAAGCAGTCAGAAGCAAAACTGCTGTGGTTTGGGGAGCAAAAGAATTCTTCGTAAAAGGAAAGCGTGGAGCCGCTGCGTGGGGCGAGGATGGCTCGGTGGAGCGAGAGAACCAGGGGGTTCGCCGCAATTGCCCAAGTTCAGTAGAAAGTGGGGAAAGGAGATACCAACTCCAAACTTCAGGGGCTGTACCCACAAAGCGCCTTCTTTTGGAATCAAAACATGTGCGCGCCCTCTAGTGGGCTGAGGGGAAACTGCCACCAAATCTTAACCGTTGATGTGCGGCCTTTTGGGGAGGAGTGGGCTTTTGCAAAGCTCTGGATGCAAATATGCTTTAAGGGGCACTGATCTTTAGTTTTATGACTCCTTTTAAAGCAAGCAAGCTATGTTTTGAGGAGGGGGAAAGTGAAGGGGAGAAAGAAAGATCGCCAACTTCACGAGGGCACAGACATCTTCACGCTGTGTTCCTCATGTTGAACTGGGTCGGGCTCAAAACTGTGCTGAGTGAATGGAAGTCTGGAAAATTAATGATGATAAAGGTAAAATATTTAACATAAAGAAGAAACTCTCTGAGGGTGAAATGACCAACTTCCTAAAAAGGAAAAAAAGATAAGTGAGGGAGTGGGCAGCCAAGGGTCAATAGAAAAGGGACTTATTTGAAACGAAACAAATGTAAGTGCTCACAGATGGATCCTAAATCCAGTCTCCCTGTGTGTTCAGCACTCTTTCCACCACGTTGGTGTTCAAAATGTGAGCGAAACCGCCAAAGACACGACCTCTAAGAATCGCCCAAGTGTGGAAGTGGTTCCATTTTCAATGATCTTTTTATCCTGAATTTACCAAGAAGAAATTCTCAGCTTGGTACTAGGCTGTGCTCAGTGCCTAACACTTGCTAATCTTCCTTTTTAACAACAAAAAACCAACCAACCAAACAAGCAAACAAGCAAACAGACCTTACGCCCACAGTCTTTACAGACAGTGAGTGGTTTTATCCAGAATTTAATAGAACTTTTTTTGTTTTTAAGAATACATTCTATTTAGGGCAAGTGATGCTATTTCTGAAATAGACACTTTAAAACAGTTTTAAAGTATATGCACCTAAGCCTTAAAAATTAATTTAAGAAAAAATATTTTAAAAGTAAATAAGTAATATTACAAGTGGCAGACGGTTATGACAAAATGTGAACAATTGGTGTTGGAATGTCTGGTGTTTGGGATTCCTGCAGTGTAACATGTCATGCATTAGGGAAAAAGAAAATTACCACAACAAATAAGCAGGGAACAAAGACCCTGGATATTAAAAAACATGCTACCATATAAATGTATTCATTATGTTTCTTGATG